AAAATGAATTTAGATACATTGTTATGTTAGGGGAAATGAGCTTATTGACCCATATAACACCAGCGCTTCTGTTTTATCTCTGTCTCGCCTGAATCGGAGGTTAAACATTTTAGCGCCGAATAATTCCAACTGCTTAGACGAGCAGCCATTTTAATTAAAAGCATTTACAGAGGAAACCAAAGAGAGGAGATGTGTGCTGTGGGATTTTACACGCTGTCATCCAAGGCTAGTGCGGATCAAAGAGTTTCCGCGCTGCTTTTTAATGGTTATATAACGTTTTTGTGCCAGTGAAATATTAGGCATGGTGGGCAATGTGCTGACAGCCCCAGGCACTGTTGAGCCACTTCTTTGAATGTTTAAGAATATACAACTATAATAAAGTGGCAAAAAACATTTAATCCAGTGCAAGAATACAGCTGCAAAAATATTTTTTCCTAATTAGAACATTCATCATATTGCTAGGCACCTATAATACTGGTTGGCTCTGTGAGTTGCTGCTAATAAGCCTGTCCCAAATGGAGCTAATGTTACTCCAGTGGGCATTAGCTCACCTGCCTTCCTCCAGTCCTCCTCCCACTACTACACACAAGTGCCTCTGCTATAGTAACTGATATCATACTTCATGCAAATCTAACCCCAAAAAACTATTTTATGGACAGACGGATTTGGATTTTTTTGCATATGATACCTGTTTGGGGGGGATTCAAATTATCTGCTTTAAACTGATACAGGCATACAGTATGTGTGTATTAGCAGAGCTGAAGTTGGCTGAATGACTGGACTGTAAACTTGTGTTAATGATCCTGATCTTGCTGCTTTGAGTTAGCAAAATCATCCGCTGACTTTTTTTTACATTCATCAATAGGACGAATGGATTGCCTCATAAGCAAACTGCAGATTCTGAGCTTCAAAATGAGCAGAGGTAAGTGAAGCCGGGGTTAAGTTAGATTCAGATCATTTTTTGTGTGTGCCATTTGCAGTAAAACCACATTGGAATACATTTGCAAAAGTCTCCAGTGTGCACCAGATACATACTGTAATATAACAAAAAATATCAATTATAAATATGAATTTATCAATTTAAAAAGTATGTTAGAATACATTTTGGGATGAAAAAATGTGTAGTTTCAAAAAATGGTAGAAGTGACACTGCAGTTCATTGCATAGTATTTAACCACTATGCAAAATACAGTATGTACAGTATATATGGCCCAAATATTTTAAGTGCACAATGCAGTTCTTGGTAGTGTGGCACAAAAGAAGCATTTAAGCATCTTGCAAGAGTTTATATGTTGTTTGTTTATTTTCCAAAAAAATCACACTATTTTACTTTTAATTTAGTATCGCTATACATATCATAACATCAGATACAATTCAATTCACACCCCCAATGTAAAGCGCTTTGAGATTATATTGTCCAATCTATAGTCGGCTCTATAGTCTGCACACAAAGCAGTCATTTGTAATAACACATAGCCTTAGTTTACTACTATCTCACTATCCTTTGCCTCTCCTGGCTCAAGTGGAAACTGAAAAAAAAGAAAAGAAAAGACAAGTGTGTGATTGTGCCAGCAAATGTAGATCCTGCTCTCACAAAACACTATTCAATAAAAAAAACACAATTTCATCCATTTCTGTCAATGACTATGATGCTAAGCAGTTGAAATGGAGCAAGGTAACAGCAGCGTCCGCGCGCAGAGGAGCGTCCGCGTGCTAATTGCATGTAGTGTAGTGTTTGGGCAGAGTGTTTTCCCAGCTGCCTGGCCTGCTGCCACCGGCCCACCTCTCATACTGTCATCCTGCCTGACATTAGCACTAAGCTGGATCTCATTAGGACCTAAGGTGGCAGTGATCCCGTCAACATCGCTCTGCCATATGGGTGGCCTCCAAGCTAACGCGCTGTATCAGGCTGCTTCAAACCGCTCCAAACGGCAGCCCTTGTTACCGCCGGACCTGCATGCCACCTGGACGGACCAAAATAATATGTCATGGAGATTTTTTTTAAGGGTAGCGATGTCGACTCTGAATTATAAAAAGAATGAGTGAAAGGATTCGGACGGAACATTGCCAAAATGTTTTTTTATTTTTTTTAAATATGTAGTTATGGATTATCACCATAGTTTGTGTTATTACAGTCGCTTGAAGGCAAATATGAACATGTATTATGGTAAACCCTCTCATTTGGATCTACTTCAAATGTATCTATACGTTTGAACCAAGATTTTTCTGCAGTTTTTTGTAAGTCCTTTTCAAACAACACATATGTAGTCCAGTTTAAAATTAAACATTGTGTGCATGTAGGTAGGTCTGTGTTTGCAAGGAATTTAGGGAAATTACAATAAATTGCTGTAACTTTTTCATCTTTCATGATTTAAAAAAAAGGTCTAGTTTCTGAGGTTCAAATTTGGAGTCGAGAGAGAATAGTTTAAAAGGTACAAAAATGATTGGATCTCTTGAAATGTTGCAAAATATATGGATTATTAGTTAGTAAGGCCAAGTGTTGATATCACATATTGTCCTCGGCTCACAACAACACAATCTCTTTTGCACTTTAATTTCTGAAAAAAAAAACCTCTGTCCTGTCTTTTATTTATAACAAATAATCAATCATTCCAAGTCAATACTAACGTGTGTGGATATGTTTTTAATATGTCAAGTCAAAGTACAATTGTATCGACTGTCCCTATTCCAATAAAACAAATATATAAACACAGAAATACAGCCCTAGTTAAAGCTGGAGAACAGAACCACAGAAAGATTAACTATGTATAAAATCCACGTAATGAGTTGCTGGCTCTATAACAGCATCCATCACTATTTTTCACATGTATTTTTGGCATTTTCAACATCTTTGGATCAGCTTTGCAAAAGTGAAAAAAGAGGACCGCCCTCACTTGGGCCAATCAGCATTCAGTATGTAAAATACAACATGTTTGCTAATTAGATAAATACAGCTTGGTGTGGTCAGATTTGTTTACCAAAGATTCTGCCACCTTATAATATCCTGACCCTGATCACTTATTGATGACCTGCACTGTGAACGGCAACGCCACAGTCTAAATTCCTAGTTTGTGACTGAGTATGCATACAAGAATTTATTTGCCATTTGCAGTTACACCACATTGGAAAAACTGTGCAAGACTACCTCAATAAATGTGTACCAATAAATATGGCAATACAACAAAATCTGATTCTGATGTATTCATGAGATCCAAAAACAAGTTAAGGATTCCAGCTTTTACTTTGAGGAACTTCTTGCTGATGCTGGAGGATCGAAGGACAGTGATATTCCGGGACACTTATGGACAATTATGCACATGTATCAAGATTTATGGGCCTCAGTCATCCACCCCTTATGGACCAATAACTCAGAGCCACAACTAAGAGTTTGTTATTATTCCTGTGTTTGAAATGTTTGATTCTATGATCTTTTGTTGCCGCACTGAGTACTTTGTAAAGTCCTCGAGATCACTGCTGTATTGTACAATAATAAACAGAATTGAATTAATATCATTATGTTCAATCAATGAAAACAGCTTAAGTACTCCAGGGAGTAACAGTCTCATTTCACACGAGCACTCATTCTAATAATCCAAACTGTGCCCTATGTAACGTCCGCCTGGTCATTCTGGACATCATCAGTTTTTGCATTGACCTTGCGTTGTCATGGTTGCGGTCACACCCACAGCAGCATCACTGTACATCTCTGTCTTGCTCTTATCACAGTCATTTAAACAGACAGGAAGTCATTTATGGCTTTGTTTGATGCTCGTAAAGCTGTGGCTGTAAAAACATAACCACTGTTTCCAAAGCAATAATCTTAGCATTTTTATTTGCTGTGCATTTCTCATTTACGACAGCCCACTTTATTAACGATCAAATTTGCTTCAACTGCTGCCTTGGCAAATATTTTAAAGGTTGCTTGCTGTTTTTTGCCCATCAACTGTCAATGGCAGTTTTATTTTGAAAATTACAAACTCGGGTATCTAATTTTTGCATATGAAATATACCAATACAATAAATGTCCTAACAGAAAGACTCTTGTCAAAATTGTGAACAAATCAGAGTGCAATATGCTCTCATCATCTTATTAGAACATGTTATCATTTACGTATTTTATGCTCTATGTGTCACTTTTTGACACTGACAGCTGATTGGCTGAGTCAGGATGGCCCTAACTTATTAAATGTTCCGTCTAAAAAAGCAGATCTAAAAATGTGACAGAGGCCAAAAATACATGCATGTGATAACTGCTGTGAGGTTTACATGTATTTTATAGCAAAGTTATATTTTTATTTGTATCTAAATGTCTATTATTTATCATCAATCATGAGACTGAGGGACTTCTTATGCTGTGATTCAAGTCGACAAAATTTTACTATTGTCTAACAACCTAAATAAGCTTAAAGAGGCCTTACACAACCAGACTCCTGCACATTGTGGTAACATCACACGTCTCCATGACAGCATGTCAACCACATGTCGGGTTGATTGCATGTAGGTTTGAGGGAGAGTTTTCTCTCTCCCAGTGCATGTTTTTGAGGCAAACCATTGAGAACTTAGGTATACCCCAAAAATCGTACATACTGCCGCCTTTAACTCTTATTGTGCTTCTGTTTTGCTAATTTACTATGTGTACATTTTATTTTCAAATGAAGTAGGGCAGTGTAAATAAGGATACGGCTCGAATGTGATCCATCTCCAAAACAATGCTCTTACAGATCTCCGTTCTTTAAATTCCTGTATCCTGAGCCAGTATCCCGCTGCTTTTCCCAAGCCCAGCTCCTGCTATTATTTTGCACTTCTCAAAGCAAACACCCACAATCTCCAGGGCAATAGAAGTTGTAGTGATGAGGAAACTACCTAACTCTGTCCCAATCGCCAGCACAAAGCACCTCTAAAGAGACGTCACAGAAATCTCTATTTGCTAATGCTATTGCATTGGTCAGAAAATCGTTGTTCATGAATCACAATACACTGCACATACTGTAATGAGAAGTTTACCTCGACGTGGCGTCCGTAAGGCAGTTCTGACCCGGGTATCCATCTCTGCCCGACAGCAACCCCTGCGACATGGGACGAGTTTTCCATGACTCCATTAATGCCGATACTGGAGAAATTAGATTCAACATAGGGTTGGATTGGTCTCTCACATCATGTCGAGTGAAAGACATTGTTCCTTGTGCTCCAATCTGGTAATGGAATGAGTGTCCACTGGAATTAACTCCAACAATGGCCGATGTGGGCATACTGGTATTCTCTTGGTAATAGCTGCCATCATTGGCCTCTTGCTTAACCCCCTTAGACAGGGCGCTGTTGGAGAACACGTCAGACTCATAGTTTCCATTCATGGAGGAGACAGGGGGTCCTAAGATTCCAGAAAGACTGTACTCATCAATATTATTCCTCAGAGATAAATAAGTTGTCTCAGATGCAGGGAAGAGACCCAGAGACTGTGATTGTTCGTTATAGGGCTGCTGATTCATACAGTCCTCCTCTTTGTTTGGTTCTGTCTTAATCTGGGTGATGAAGGGCGTATTAGTTGCGTTACACTTGGAGGTTCCTAAACACATGCTTCTAAAGTCAGTGCCAGGTTCATTCTTAATGTATTTAACCATGCCCATCTGGTCCAAGCCAACATTAAAAACCTCCCCGTCTACCATCTCCACTTTGGGAAACTCAAAGTTCTTGAAGTCCATGTCCTGAGTGAGACTTGCCGGTTCTGGGCTCTTGGTGTCATTCTGAACCAGTCCCAGGGGGCCCACAGGACTGGGCTCAGGAAAACCTCCTGGGGGGGACTCGTGGGGGCTGCTCACAGGCATACCCCCGGTGGAGGGACTGGACAGAGGCTGTCGCAGGCTGCTGCAGTTGGCCGTGCTGGTGGGGCTGGACACAGAAGACCTCATGTTACAGGAGGTGCTGCAGGCGCTGCTCATGCTCTGAGGGCTGGAGATTGGAGACCTCATGATGTTCATGGGGCTGGTGAGCGGTGGGGAGCCCACAGTGCTGGACTCCACAGGGCTACATGTGGCTGAATTCCTGCGCTTGATGTGAGCCACACTCTGAGCACAGGACGTCTGACTGGCTGGACTGCTGACCGCTGAACACGGAGGTCCGAAGCATACAGGTGGACTGGTGGTGGAGGACACCATGTTGTTACTTCCCCCAGGGCTGGACATAGAGCTGGAGGTGTGAGGACTGCAGGACACAGAGGAGCCCAGCATAGAGCCTGAGCTCACAGGGGTTCCTGACCCTGCAGTGTGTGTGGAACAGGGGGGCTGGAACCCAAATGGTGTTAGCTTAGGGCTTTTTGCAGATCCACTTTGCTTCTCTTCTAGAGAACGCCCACACACTGGGAACATTTTCCCAGGGCTGGTACTGCCCCCGTGCTGGTTAAAAGCAAAATCTGCCTCCCTGGCAGCGTTCATGTAGAGGCCCATAGACTCTGCAACAGTTTTGGAAAGCTCCTTGGAGTCCATTTCCTGCTTATGGCCATGAAGAGAGTTGGTAAAGTGTGGGTGAACGAATGGTTGGTTCTGGCTGAGGCGTCGCACTGGATGCTCCGGCTTCTTTGTGGTGTTGTCTTTGCAGTCAGTAGCCGTGCTTCCAGCAGTACAGCTAACATTGACAATGTCCATCAGAATATCTCCAGCGGTCAAAGGCGAGTCCTCTGGTGCACAGCAGAACTCCGTAGAACGGACCTGAGGCCATTTGTTCTCTGTGTCATTCCCATCAAAGAAACTTTGGTATTGTTTGGTCTCCATCTCTAACTTCACTGACAGCCCTGAAAAAGAGAAGGAGAAAATAAGAGAGAAAATTGATTGAAAACACAGTAGTTTTATTATACGCTGTATCCTGATTTACCATATGAACACATATTTAAGTGTTAGCTAACAAACTGAAAACATTATCAAGTTCTACCCAAATACTTGATTGTTCACCTTGTGCCTTGCAACCTTTTAACTTGACCATGCGGGATGCACACAAACACACAGATGGGAGAAACTTGGGGGAATGGGTTAATTCATGAGAGTGACGCTCTTTGTGCTGTGGGCGCTAAGCCCCGCCTTCTCTATGCGCCTATTGGCCACAGACGAGTGAGTTCCCCCAACCTTCTTTGCCCCTTCATGGATTGGCCAGGCAGCTGTCATTCAATAGTTATAGCTCTAGCAGCCATAACAGAGCTGCGACACAAGTTTAAATTCTCTGTAAACGGCTAGAGGTACTGTGTCCTGTGTCAAGTGTGTCAGTGAATGACAGTCTGCGGTAGACGTCTGAGGCGTGTGCTCTCTCTACACCAGCACATCCCAAATACATGTACAGAAACCCTTTTTCTATACAATGGCACAACGTTTACCTAAGCGAGCTATAATCAAACCCGAGAGACTTCCAGACAGCAGGTGTGGCGGCGGAGCAAGAACTGTCTGAAAAGTAACAGCCCACATCCAAGCAATGCTGTCCGACTTCTGCAGGACACAGCCTCCAAACGTGCACTCCCTTCCACGTTGGAGTGCGTAAAGTGGATGTGAGATGATCATATGACTTTTCACGGCTGTAAAATGAAGTGCTTTGAAGCGATATTAGAATTAGGCGTACGCTTTTGGGATAGCGACAGTATCAGTAAAGTCAGCCTCTGCATCTCCCCTTCCTCATCGTTTTTTTTAAACAGGATGTTCAATGATAGCCAACATACCAACTTTGATTTTTGCGCACGCATGCATGGCAACTTATTATGGAGCATGCACGATCCTAACGGTCCGGGCTTGAAAGTTTAATGCGATGCGTAACACAGCGGAGACCGGGTGCACTTGTCATGAACGCAGCTCCAGCAAAAGTCGCGCAGAACACATCACAAACAAGCGAAGAAAACCTCCGTCCTCGTCTTACCTTCCTTAATTACGACATCCAGAGTTGTCAGGTGGCTGTGTTGCTGGGCAGCGATAATCCAGAAGGACAAAAAATAGAGCAGAGGGAAAAAGAAATAGAAAGCAAAGTGATGAACAGATCGGTACGTCTAGTCTCCACGAGCTTCACAAGATATAGTTCTCAGTTTGACAGCTCAGGACGCGCGCACGGGATAGAAGTGCCTGCGACTGCGTATATATAATTATATATATATATTCTCACTACTGGAGTCCTCCCAGGCTCTGACAGGGCGAACCAAGCACACAGCAGCAGCAGCATTAGCGACAGGAGGCGGACACGCTCACATCATGCTCGGGAAAAGGTCTCTCTCTCTCTCTCTCTCGCTCTCTCTCTCTCTCTCTCTCTCTCTCTCTCTCTCTCTCTCTCTCTCTCTCTCTCTCTCTCTCTCTGTGTGTGTGTGTTTCTGTCTCTCTGTCTCCCTCTCTACCCCCCTCTCTCTATCTCTCTCTGTATCTGCGTGCGAGCTCCACTGGACTGGACCTGGACCTGGACCTGGACCTGGACCTGGACGCGCGTCTGGCTGAGATCGGAGCAAGTCATTAAAACAAACGCAAAGCAGTCATCCGCGCTGCGACGAGTGCACAGGCTGAAACTCCGACCTGGGAGAGGGTGAGGAGAGCGGAGAGGAGAGGAGGGGGAGCGAGGAGGGAGGCAGAAGAGGAGGGGCTCCGGGGCCGCGCAGGTAGACGCTGGAAATAGGGCAGTCGACTCAGCAGCAGTGCGCACGGTCACCGAGAGAGAGCGGCCGCTTCTTTGTGGGACTTTGAAGTAGTCTCAGGCGCTGTGCGAGCCGGTTTGGTTTATTCTAATGGCGACGCGTTGATTTTCAGTCAGTGGATATTGTCAAGCGGCCGAAAAACTTACTATCCAGAGCAGTTGGAGAGTTTTACCCCTTTAAATGTTCCCTCAACCATTTGATGGATAACTTTTTAAGTCACTATGAAGCTTGGAATTGAAATCTACTTCGTTGGGGCATCTCTATCACTTGGTTTTATACAGTATAGGCATTTTTACCATCAAAGTGCATCTCAACCATTCATTAGAGGCCTATTATTACAAAATGAAGGGTTAACATTTTTTGTTTTGCTTTCTTTTTCAAGGGGTGAACCTTGAAGGGTTAAAACAGGGGGGTGAGAGGAGAGGAAAGAAAGAAGCATGATCATGATATACAAAGACAGGTGACAAAACTATAGACTTACAAAACTAGCATTATATGCATCTGATTTAAAGATTAATACAATTATAGATATAGTAATGACATTTTTCCCTTAAAGTTGGGTTGTCAAACAAGAAATTAGATTTTTTTTGTATTTATATTTTTGCATATTTATAAGAAAGAGCCCTGTGAGTCACTAATTGACAGTTTGGGCTGAGAGTTTCATTGGTTCCGCACTTATTTTACATCATCTGGAAAAGCTGATTTAAAAGCTGGCATTGCTTATAAGTAAAAGTTTAAAAGTACTTACGCCGCACAAGTTAAGTAAAACAAACAATTTTGTAGAATAAATGACGGACATATGAGAGATTTTAAAGAATATAATTTCTTTCTGTTGTAGAAATGCGACAAACTGGCAGAGATTACGATATGTAGAACTGATTATGTGAACTTAGAACCACAATGAATTAATACGCTTAGAAGCATGGCTAACCCCTTCACACTGTTGTGTAGTTGATGCCATTTACAAAGTAACGACTAATTTTAAATTGAAAGGAGCAGAAAGAACAGATATGTGTAAGTCAAATGATACCAGTAAAGCCAGCTGCTGCTATGTGTACTGGGTGGCATCTCTGGCCACCCCCCAACCCAGAAATGGATTAAGGGGTAGAAAATGGATGAATGGATGGATGGATGGACCAGTAAAAAATATATATATACTGAGTTACTTGTCACCTCTGACAATGAGGAAAAAGGATACTAATCCTAACCCTACATCATGAGAAGTGTACGAAAGAGGCTGTTGAAACCTGAGCTAAAATAACCGGATGGACAATACTGCCTTTTCACCTGGACAAAGGTTGACTTATCTTTACTTTTTTTATTACAATGTTTAAAATGGATGAACACTGTGAGAAAGGTCTTACATCTTACAATCCAGTGTGAGGTCTACAATTTCTGTTAAAATTGTATTGTCAAAACACAAAGAAGAAGAAGAACCAAAACTAGATGGACACAAATCAAATGCTAAAAGTGTTGCAGGCGTGTGAAGGAGAATCATGTCACTTTTTGAGCCTTTGGGGTGAGAGCAGATTGGTTGTCCAAGGGTGGTTACCCATACAGCTTTTTTCTGTCTGAAATGTAGTTCTAACGTTGTGCCAGCAGCAAACATTCTCATACAGGAAATAGTATTATGTTTCTCAATGTTTACGTCTATTATGAATCATTTGTTTTCATTCCAATAATTCAGTTCAATTCAATGTATTTTTGTATAGCCCTAAATCAAAACAGCACTCAGCTCGAAAGGGCTTTACAACGTTTTCATTTCCTCGACAGCAGAGCAGAGAATCAGTTCGGGCCCAGGAAATGTGATGATAACAAACACAGGAGCCATTGGTCCACACGGAGCATGAGGACCAATGTCCATAAATGTCTTTGTCCCCTTTCAACACTGTCCTTAGACCCTCCTCCAAATCCAAAAAAAAAAGCGAATTATGTGAGAAATCAAAGTTTTTCTTTCTTCCCGCCTCATTTCGAGTTGATAAATTGTGAATGAACTTGTAAATGCATTTTGTAAATAAATTATTATAATGGAGGGTATGAATATATCTATCTGCTTGAATTAATTAATTCATAAATGAAAACATGGAAAATAATTTGATTTCATGTATTGTTTGACATTTTAAAGGAGCACTATGCTCTTTTGCAGGTGACAACAAAGTAAATTGAATGGGAGGACTTTCTGTGTCTATAATACTATTTGAACGGGTTTTCAAAAGTGTTGAATATGAAAACTAGATACTAATTTGAGCTAGTATTGATACAACAAATAATGACATGAACGTCCTGTTCAACATACAATTCTTGAGCATTTCTTGACAAATGGTTCTTCTAAACTAGACGATCGGGTAAAAAACCGTATGGCTCCATAGATAGTATTATTATGAGTTTAAAATGTCAGTTCATAAAAAAGAGCATTTGAGAGTAATCATAGTGGTATTGAAATTGAGTATCAAAAACACTGGGTAACAAAAAAATATTTTTTGAAAATAGTCCAGGGTTTTCCAGCTGAATTTAATGTTGATGCTCTGAGTCCAAAAATGACCTTGGTTTTGCTCAATCAGGTCAGGATTTTTTGCTACAGAAATATTTTTTTAAATCGATTTTGCGTAAAAAACAAATTTCTGCGGATCATCAGCTGAGAAACCCTTGACGTTTTTTCCGTTTTCCACAAGAAATAAAAGTCAACGTATCCAAAGTCATTCCGTTTTTATTTACTCCATCAAATTTGATAAGCAGAACTAACCACGCTCATGCGATCTCAGAAGCTCGGATGTTCCGACTTCCCCCAAAATGGGCATGAACGCTGCTCAACCCAGAACCTCAGGCTGGCTCAATGGCCACTGAGTCCCAGAGATTGGATTGTGATTGGTTGAAATATATAGACAAACTAAGAGATGTGTTCTATATAAAAAAATTGTTTGTCAAAGCCCAAAATCAGTTAAAACATCTCATTTGTGAGTTTATGGCCACAAAAGTGTTGCAGAAATATATCTAATAATGAGCAGTTTTTATTATAAGGAACAACATATTTTTGTGTGTTTTTCCAAGATAGCATTAAAGCAACTGTCCTTCAACAGTTTGATGTAATATACTTTGACTTCATGCTCAAGTGAAATTATGTTTTTACAAGCTGTGTTTCCAGTTAGTAACTTTAAAATTAAGAAAAAGAAGAAAATGAAATGGAAAACTCCTCCCCCGGTGGTAGCTGAGGGATAGGGTAGGCCGATGGCATTGTTTGATACTTGTTCCACCACATATTTTCTGGTTGATAAATACTTTCAAATGACAAAGCAAATAGTCTCATCAGAATGTTGAATATAACGGGTAACATTTCTTCAATTTTTTTTTATAGTGTATTATAAATGTCCCTACCCCCCAGGCTGAGAAGCGCTGCCCTGGAGAACACAGACGTTTATCCGCGCTGTTCAGTGAAACCTTATTTATGTGGCGCGTTTTGATGCGAGCGCAGACTCTGGTCTTACTCCAGCTATATCCCATAATCAGTTTAATCTGTGGACTTGTCACTCAGTGCAGCCATTATGCAGCGTTTCACATGAATGCGTCAGCTCCCAATTCAACGACTAGAGCTGCACTTTCCCCCCTCCCCTTGTCTGTAAGGCTTTCTCACTCTTGCCAGTTTGCAGATGTTCCGCACAAGTTTGTTCAAGAAACGGGAGCAAAATAAAACAAATAAATCCCAGTTCAAAAACAAAATTAACCAAAATGTTTGTATTAAGTGAGACAAGCGACAACTTGTTTAAAAAAAACTCCTCCTTTTATATAATGGCGACACCGGCATGTTAAAAGCCACATCCTTTCCAGTGGTGGTCGGAGGGGCCGATGGCATTGGTTGCCTCGCTTCTGTCAGTCTGCCCAGCTGTGGCCACAATAATATACTGTGTATGGAGTGAAGGAATAATGCCAATGTATCATGATTATATTAGGTTTTTTTTATCTCTTTTTCAACATAATTTCTTTAGATGTTTTTATGCACATTTGTTTGGATGTGTCTTTGAATGTTAGTAACATGAAGTGAAAAAAATAATTTTAAAATGAAAAAATAAAAGTGATAAAGTTTTTCTTTTTTTAAGCTGTTGTCAGCATATGTTTGTTCAAGAATTCCTCTGCCTTTTGACTGAAATCCCTTCTAAATAGGACACAAAACAAAACTTTACATCAATTCAGATAGTTATGCGTCTATTGTACACAATAAGTACTTGTCACACATTTCAAACTTCGATGCTGAAAATCATAACAATTTTCTGATGGAAAGAGTTCTAATAATTGCGGAAAAAAACCTCAGCCTGGGCTTTTACGCGCAGTCGTTTTAGGTAAATCACAGATAATAACTGTCGCTTGACAACATTGCTCGTACACAAGAGGCTAAAAATATGCCTTTTTAGAAAGGGGGAAAGGGGAGAATCCTTTTGGATGAGTGATTGCAGTGATTAGGAGCAGGCTTCCTCTCTGGTTTGGACAAAGCAGGCAGCTCCAGTAGACGAAAGGGCCAGAGGCATTTATTTGAGGGAGGTGCAAGCTGCTTCTTTTGGGGACAGGTGAACTGGAGCATGTTTGAGCTTCAACAAAACACCAGTCATTTCCTCCGTCTGTAAAATAACTGAAGTATAGTTTTTTATCAGGGCCGGTAGGTTTTTGGTAGCAGCTTGTCAAGCCTGGGAACATTACCACCATTGCCACTCATTCAGACTCATTCAGTTATAGCAAAAAAAAAGAATGCCTATAAGTTTGAGAAGTTTATCGAGTAGGTGTGTGGTTATGACGGCTTTGGGGTATTGCGATGCAGTCCAGGGATCCAATATGATTCCAGAATTATGCCAATACAAAGCAAAAAAATATAATAAAAATATACTCTAAATATTTTGAAAAGGAAAACGTTCTTCAAAATATCTGTACAGAAAAAAATACAAGCAGATTTTTGACAAGTAAATTTTTTGTGCTGTCTTCCTCATGTCACATGATGTGCCTGTGACATGCCCTGTCAGCTGTTTCACAGTTTTTGGTGCCGTCTTCCTTCCACCAGAGGCAGCATGAGCAGAACAGAATCCCAGGTGTGTAAAACGGAAAAGCCCCCTCGTCACGATTTAAGATCCTGGGGGCACTAGGAAAGATACCTGTCTAAAAACAGAAACCTGTGTAAAACCCGACAAGGTACTTCACGTGACCCCTCTGAGGAAGACTATCATTATTGGTCTTTGTAATAATTAAGTAAAAGTGCTTTAAGTGTAAAAGACATGACCACCCTCACTCAGCCAATCAGCCAATCAAATATCGACTCACAGCCACAGGGCTCTTGCAAAATATGTTGTGGTATATGGTTGATGTTTGTCTTATCTATTTGAATTTTAGTAAAATTTGAGAATGAAAGTAAATAGTAGTAAAAATTGTAAAATAGGCACTCAAGCTTAAAGCTATAGCTAAACAAAGACATATGCTAAATGAACAGGCCTTTTTTTGTCTTGTGGAAAATAAGGCCAATTGGCAGTAGGTGTTATTTCTACAATTTGGTAATTGCAATAGCCAAAAACACAGTATTGTTACTTTTGCTAGCTTTGTTTCCACAAACTGGGATCATTGTTTCACTTTTGTCATCATGTTATCATTCTAACATTCAGTAGAGTTGCAGTCAATGTAATATGAACGACACACGTTTGGAAAGTAGCTGTAATCTCCTCTCATTTCCACGGAGCAGAAATGTTTAGTGGAAATGTAAAACCATGTTAAGCTGCCTTGGCCAAAGACAGTCTCTGACAGTTTGCATGCTCTCAAAAACATTCTTCATTATAAAATCTGTAGGAAAAGAAATGGCTTGTTATCGTCATCCGGTGAAGTACAATAACCTGTCTTTTTAATCATTATGATACAATGATTGTTTATTGAGTTTATCTTATTACTCTGCTCTCAACATTCAGTATACTTAAACAGAACAATCATTAATATACATTTCATTTATGCACCTTTTGTAAATAATGTTATGCAAATGTGAGATGACAAAAAAAAATGTAAACACACAATAGATCACATAGACAAGAAAATGACAATTTTGAATACTAAAAGATTTTCTGAACTGATGGGTTTTGAGGTTTTTCCCCAACGTGGGGAGGTCAGTGCAGTTCCAGAGTTAAGGGACTGTGAGTTCCAGAGTGTGGGGACAGTGATGGAGAAGGCCAGGGCTGAACTGGCCATCGGGCGTACCGGGCAATGCCCGAAAGGCTGATGCCCATGTTTGGGCCGGTCTGCCTCAGACAAAAAAAATATTTTCGTGAAATGTGTAAATCCGTTGAGAAATATTCGAGGGCGCATGACCGCGGGGCACTTGCTGTTCGCTGTACGTACTCAAACGGGATTCCGCATCCACCTGCAGCGTTCTGACCCGGGAGAGCGCCTGTGAGCCACTTTGACAACAACACGGAGAGCGCGCTTGGTGCTTGGTCTTGGTCCTACAGTATCTTACAATTAGTATTTAAATTAGGTGACTGTGAAACATGAGGCCGGTGTTTACCGTCAAAGGTGTCCATGACATGAGTCACATACAACTGCAGCTCTTACATGCCATCTGGGTGTGATTGCATTGCTTGTGTAATAACCAATATCAACATTATTCATTGCCGGGTCGCAGCTGCAGTTGTCAGACCTCCCTGTTTGTGCCCATCTCTTCAACTCATCCAAATGCTCCTGGGGCATTCCCAGTGCATCCTGGGTCATGCCCACTCTCCAGGATCCATCTGAACAGACTCCTGGGTCGCTGTAGCTGACTCCTTCCATTTGACCGAGGTGTTAACATTTTCTCCATTAGAGTACCCAGCCACTCTTCGAACTGGCAACAAAGGGCATCCCATGAGGTTGTTTTGTAAAACTCTTTACATTTATTAACAACCTCTGTCCACAATAAAACCACCAATCCAGTAGATGGAAAAGCATTAACGTTGGTTTGGCGATGTAAGTCTTAAGTGGTCAGACTCCAGCACAACGGAATAAGACTCAATGAAGGTCAGGACCTGGAAATATGCTATTGAATTTTGCTCAGGTTGCTATGGCAACAATCATGTCTTGTCATTGGAATAGGAAAGATGAAGTAGTGGGGGAAATGACAGGAATGCACTCAGTGTAGACATGAAATGTATGTATGTAAGTAGTTTGGTATAAGATTTTGTTATAATACCATTTCACCAATGGAAAATAATAGTGGTTGTATAGCAAACAATATTTTCTTTATTTCAAAAGCAACCAACAACCAAAGTCAAATTTCACGTTTGAATATATTTTCTTTACCATTGTGCTGTGACAATGTAGTAATGGGACAATTATCAGTATATACAAAAGTTATATCATAAATACTAGTTGATCAAAACTAGACCTATCCCTATTGGCACACAATAATATTCAAAATTATTATATTTTTTATTTCTATGATCAATTATTCAAAAAATATATTTGAATGGGGAAAAGGTCCAGAAAATGCAACTCTGACAGCCCAGAAAGCTGGAGTATTGGCATCTGATCTTTATCTTAGACTGTATGTAGGTAGAGAAATGCTATGCTCATGCCAGATACGAGCTATTAAAAGGTTCACCAATCAGATACCGTCATTCGCTGAGAAAACTCCAATTTCACCAATTTCAAATTAGCTGCAGCTAACTTATGTTTAAATTGGCAAACACTACAATCAGTCCATTCCTAATATACGGTCAATGATCTTGAAAAGTGAGGTAAGGTAAGTTGATTCTATAGCACACATAAAAAATGACTTTAATAAGAATATATTCGATAGATTTTTTTAGGGTTAGGGTTTCTAGGCACAAAATCATATTTATAATATAATCTATTTTCATATTCAATTGATTTATATGTTTTTCATAACATATAATTTGACTGTGGATGAGGTCCTGAAAACATACCCCTCAGACAGCCCAGACAGCAGGACTATTGCTGTCTGTAGACCTTGACACACATTGGCGTTCACCTAAGTTGGCCTGGTGCGCTGCCTGCACGAATCACATAAATGCTGAATTATATGCATCTCCCGCACTCACAGTGTCTCGAGTACTATGTGTACACCACTGTGATTTCTCGTCATCCCATTTAAGAAACAGAAAACACACTGATGATGAAATAACATGTTTACACAAGTGCGTAGACACATGCATATTCAGTGGGAACAAGGCGCATAGGTGCCAGCCCGACTTCTGATCGCGTGATTAACATGTCACTAAATAATCTGTTGTTCAAAACTGTGTCAAGTACATTATAAATTGATATTCCTGATCCTTGTTTCAGCCAGATTTGCCTTGGCTAAAAATACCACACGTGTATGTCAATCAACATTACAGATTACACATTATATTGAAATGTTATGCATATGTTTGTGACATTGTTATGATAGGACACTGTGGGAATCTGTGCAAAGTTTAAAGATGGGAGGTCGCTAAAACAAACAACATTTTTGGATGGCAAAACAGAGAAATATGAGATTTAAAGGCACCGTGTGTAAGAATTGGTGGTCTAATAAAGTCATTAAAATTACATCGGTTCCTGCTTCTAAGCACTTTTTACAAAAGCAATTCACCAGCTGGGGTTCACCTCGATACTATGTGTGTTACGTATGACTACTTATTTTTGTATCTGCTTTCATTTAAATTCATGTGCGGGGCTATTTCTTTGTGGAATTTTGAAAAAAATATATATTTTCCTTAAAACATATTATTTCACCTTACAAACTTAGACATCAATATTATGAACATCATGAGCATTTACTCCACTTGAAACTTTTGTCCAGAAAAGGTGATTTGTGGGAACGCATATATATGATGTAGATAACTTTAAATTAAGATATTGCATAACATTGCATCCACCTTCAACACAGTAAAAAAAAATACAATAATTATAATCATAATATATATGCTTGCTTACACACACACAATGTGTGCATCCTTGTACACAAATACAATGTCAAAATATAGTAAAAAATACTAACAATACTACTACTAATAATAATACACATAAAAAACAATATTATACCCCTATAGAATGACGATGATATGGACACAGCACAAATTTAAACACAATAATTTTGCAACAAGAACTATTTACAAGAGATAGTATCTTACAGAATGGTGTCTGATCCTCTGGTCCTGCTGCTGCTAGTAATGATAGCAACTTTGTAACTATGACAAATAAGTAAATACAAAGGAAAATTTTCCTGATTAATGGTTGAAACTTATACAGTATTCCATACTAGAACCAATAACAATATCTTTGGCAAAGGGGAAGAAAATAAATGGTGGAAACCATTTTATTTTGTTTTATACTTCATTTTGAGTGTGTATTGCTGTCCTTGTATAGTGTGGTTATTCAAAAAGCCAGGGGGAGGCAGGTGAGAGAGTGGGCAGAATCCCTCAGCCCGCACGCCCCCTCCCAGCTGCCCTATAGTTCTTTGTGGATAGTGTTTTGTTCCAAGCTGAGTTGGGGTTTGATGGGCCTGTGGGACCCTCTCGTTAACATGTTCATGTTATTATGAGTGCTATAGGTGGTAACGGCAACAAGCAATGGAACAGTTTGCTCATTCTGTTTGTTTTTTTTTCTGGTTTTGCAACTAACTCTCATGAACACAAATCAATCAATCGATCAAATTTTATTCATGAAGCGCTTTTCATACAAAAAATGCAACACAAAGTGCTTTACAGTTTAGTTAAAAACAATCCATGATGCCCACCCCTAAACCCCACCGCCCCACAGACCCACCCATAAACCACATTCATCACTATGTATACACCCACATGCGTATGCACATACACCCACATACGCACGCACGCACACAAACACAGAGACATATAAAGTCACATCAGACAGGTAAAATAGGAAAAACAATGAAAAGATATAGGGCTGGGTACAGATGTATCCAGCTGAAGAAGCGCCATCCAAAGAGCCATCTGCACCAGGAGCAGAGAGCCCGCTGCAGCCACAGGGAAAGACACAGGACCCAGAGGAGAGAGGAGGCCCCAAACCCCAACCAGGCCCAGGAGTCAGACCCCCATAGGACCCAGAGGAGAGAGGAGGCCCCAAACCCCAACCAGGCCCAGGAGTCAGACCCCCATAGGACCCAGAGGAGAGAGGAGGCCCCAAACCCCCACTAGATCCAAGAGCCAGACCCCCGCAGCCACAGCAGACCCCAGCTCCCAGTGCAGAGGGCTCCTCCAGAGGAAACACTGGACAATACAATAAAAGTAAAACATTAAACATTACACCTGCGGACTGCCCCGCCCGACCCGCCTGGGAGTGCTGTCCACGTCCTGTAGCTAGCTTAGGTCCTAGATCATTAGCCTGTCCGTCCAGAGGAGCGGATCCCTTTCTCATATGGGTCTCCCTCCCTGTGGGTTTCCCTAGTTCTCCCCAAGGTTTCTCACTTTTTCCCACTGGGTTTTTTAAGAGTTTTTCCTTGTCGATGCAGGAGGGTCTTGTTGGACAGTTAGTGTCCAACAGAAAGGATTGGTGATGATCAGGACACTTTAGCATTCTACAACATGTATGGACATTTTCTTCTGTGTGTGCTTTATATTCTTCATGTGTTTTAACTGTTGATTCTCTGACCTGTGTTGGTGATTTCAATGGTTTTGTTAAGTCCTCTGAGATGACTTCTGTTGTGACCTAGGGCTATACAAGAATAAATTGTGATGTATTGTATTGTGTATTAAAATGTGATACTAAAAAGAAAATGACAGCTGCCTAATATTAATAATAACAATAGTAAAGGGGTAGATAAAATGAATAAATAAAAAACAAAATATAATGTGTCTAAAAACATAAAACGCAATAATAAATAATAAATACTAATCAAAAGCTACTCTAAAAATGTGCGTCTTGAGCCAGCTTTTAAAAATATGAATGTTCTCTGCGGCCCTGAGCTCCTCGGGCAGACTGTTCCAGAGACGGGGGCCATAGTGCTGGAAAGATGCCTCACCGTGAGTGTGTGTCCTGACTTTGGGAATGTTTAGGAGTCTGCTGCCGGAGCAGCGCAGGGGCCGGGAAGGTTCATAGGATAAAATCAATTCTGAAAGATAAGAAGGCCCAAGACCATTTAAAACATTTAAAAACCATTAAAAGAACCTTAAAATCGATCCTGAAACACACGGGGAACCAATGTAGCGATTTTAAAACTGGCGTAATGTGGTCCCGCCCCCTGGTCTTGGTCAGGACACGTGCTGCCGTGTTTTGGAGGAATTGCAAACCTGAAATTTTAACAGATTGTTCAATGTTTGATACATCCATCAAGAAGAAAAACATAAATCAATTAAAAAACCAATGAAGAAAGAAAACAAAGAAATACTGACAAGATTTTTAGTTTCACATTTGTTCTTACTTTGGGTTTTGTAAACACGAGTGATCCTTGAAGTTTGTATGGAGTATTTTTCTTCTGGACACAGTCTGGAACAATGCTTGTTTGTTATTTTTTGCACTAGAATGGCAATTTTGCAATTGACTAAGTCATTTATTAGGGATTTTTAATTCGGTTTTGACTGTATCAAGAAGTTTGTTGGGTTATAATTTCCAAAGAAAAAAAATATTAGTATCATCTGAAAACAAAATAAACTGAAGATGTTTTGGGACTTTCAATAGGTCATTTCTAGATAGTAAAAAAAAAAGTGGTCCCAATATTGAACTATGTGGTAGTCTATTCGTAATCTCTTTCAGGTCTGACTTGTAGTTTTGTAGTTGAGCATGACCTTGCTCATTCTAGATCAGCAGCCCCACTGTGGACTTGTGTGTTG